TGATCACCCTGATACAATGGCAGTGGGTGTAAGATACCTACTGAATCATGTTCTAATTGTTGTGCAGGTTCTTGTAGCGATGGGCCTTACAAGAACAAAATCTGTGATTATGAAACCTCGTTGCACATGTTAAACTGGCAGCACTCCATAGAAATCTTATGGGCAGAACAGACTGCTCCATACGGTAGCTCTTCGCACAAGCTAACTACCACATTTTTCTTCTCAGGAGCTTGGCGGGTGTGTGTGTGTGTGTGTGTGTGTGTGTGTGTGTGTACACCTCGGTTAGTAGGCAGCATCACGGTACCACCAGGGTAATCAGAAGAGCCCAGCTTATGAGTGACATAAGAAGAAATTGTTTCCAAAGATTTTCTGTTCAGAATTTATCAAAATTCAGAGAGATGATAAGAGTTTGGTGAGACATTGCACGAGGAAGTACACTGTACACACAGACACCTCAGAGTCACCCAAACGCCTAGCTATGGACCAGGTGGCTCTCAGCTGTGGCTTCCCTCCAGCAGGATGAGCTCACACACATTCTGGGTACAGTAACCACACTGGGCCACCATCCAAGGGCTTCAAAGGCCAGGCCAGCGTAAAAGTAACCATGCTCCAAACAGTTCCTAAGTTGAGTAGGGCAATTGCTGCCAAGTGTGGGAAGAAGCCAGTAATTATTTGCTCAGATATTCGTAAGGGAGTCTGGATCATAAAGCAAGAATGATTTGAAGCACCAACTGCACTTTCAAGAGCAGCTTCCCTAAGCCAGTGAGCTGAAAGTGGCAGAAGAAAGCTGTACCTAGGACTCCATGCTAACATGAGAGGGTAAAGCTGAAGGGAGAAGAATAAGGACAGGCCCAGGCGGAAGGCACAGCCACATTCACACCCCCTCCTGCTGGATGGAGAGTCAACATCTGAGCTCAAGGCCTGACACAAACCAAGGCGCTTTCAGATGGCCTCTCAGACGTCAGCGCACAGGGTTGAAGAGCCAGAGAGGTGTGGGAAGGTGGTGAGGAAGTACAACACTCAGGAAGGGACGAAGACGGAGGATGAGGAAACGCTGAGAGTAAAGCCAAGCCAGGAACCAGCGGGCCAAAGCAAGAGGCTGAAGGCAGGCTCAGCGACCATTTCCACTCGAGACCCTTCTCCTCTAGGGTCCTCTACTGCTTAAGCTCAGGGTTGGGACAAAGCTGGGACCCAGGTCAGAGGCGTGCCTTTCACCTCAGGGCCTGGTGTGGCTCAGTAGGAAGGCAGCCTTCCAAGTACAGCTGCTCAAGAAATGAACGCGAGCTAATGAATCACTGTCTTCCCAGAGCTGAATTTCCCATGACACAGCAGTTCCTGGTATGCTGGTCACTCTCACAGGTGTTTACAGTGTTCTATCTTTACAGGAGCAAGTGCTGTGGGAAACCCTCACTTCACAGATAATTACCATCCCCATTTCACTGATGAGAAAATTGAGGTCCAAAGAGGTTAATCACCTGTTCAAGATTGAGCATGAAGCCATCACTCACTCCCCAGGGGCTGGCCTTTTGCCATCCTCCCAGCCAGCCTCCAGACCGCAAGCCCAGAATCCAAGAGGCCAGCCCCAAACCACCATCACATCCCAAAGAGGAGCACCACTATACTCTTGCCAAACACATTTCAAACTTACATGTGATTTGTCACAAATCATCAGCATCTGATGACAAGAGCACACACAGGTGTGACAAGGAGATTGGGTAACTTCCTTCTGGGCTCTGTTGCATGAGCTTTTGAGAGGGCATAAAAACCACTCTAAAAAGTTTGCTTGCAATCACGGGACGAAGGTGGTGAGATCTAGACACAGCCGGCTGATGGACAGAAAGTGAGTGCGGTGTCCTGACCCAGAAAAAACAGTGAAGGAGGAAACAAAGGGGCTGAGGTGACTGTGAAAACAGAAGGAAGACATTGGGGTAAGTTAGTGGCAGCCCCCAACTTCAGGGACTTTTCTCACCACAAACCTCCCAGACACGCCCTGCTGTATAAACATCTCTCAATAGCTACAGGCCAGCTGAGGGCCAAATTAGGCTATTTTAAGTTTCTTTGCTAAATCTTTCTGGTTGTAGGGGCAATGGGTGGAATGAAGATAAAAGTGAGGGCACTTCTGTGCTTTTGTCATCTGTAAGCAAGGTTTTGAACCTGTCTGAACTAGTTTGGTCACGGCTGAAAAAGTGAAACAGACTCAAATCTTTAAAATTTGAGTAAAGGGGAACAGCAGCCAGAATGGGGTCAATTAGGACTGGGAAACCTGGAACGGGAGGCTCAGAAGAGGCGCTGTGGCCAGGCTGGCTGGAGAGGGAGGGACACACGCAGCCAGAGACATGGTCAACCTCCTCCTGAGAGTGGGGGTCTCACCATGCCTGACTGGCCGCTCAGCCAAGCGCAGGATGTCCTTGTTTTCTGAGGTGGAGAGGAAATTTCCAGCAGGGTGTTGACCTCTTATTTTTTCCTGTTTCAGTTCACTCACATTTTACAAATTCAGGTCCATTCTGGTTTCACTTCACCTTCTGTGAGTGAACTGGTGAGAAGTTCTGCCCCTAAGGCTTGATGGTGGAGTGAGGGCTGAAAAACCAGTCAGACCAACTCTGAAACATGCCATCACTAGTCATAAGCTGTGACCCTGGACACTTTTGATTTTTTTAGTTTCCTCAGCTGCAAAGAACTTAAAAATACTTCTTTCTCAGAGCTGTGACTATTAAATGAGGAAATGTCCTTGGAGTTGGTACTGACTCCCAATGCCCCTCTGTTGGGTTTCCAAGGCTGTAAATCTTTCTAGGAGGTGGTGGACCGTCTTTCTGTGTAAAAGCAGGTGGACTCAAATTGCCACCTTTTAGGTCAAGCACCCTTACATGTATGCAGCGCACCATGCCACCAGGACTCTTAAGAACAGCTGTTAGCTGGCTCTGACATAGTGACCCCATCAACAACTGAATCCTGCACCTCTGTGCCCCCGCTGCTGTGCTAACTGCTTGGTGGTCACAGCGAGGAATTGAAGGAATATAGAAGAAACAAGTCGGAGTTACCATAGTCCTACTCTAACATAGATCTTTCCTAGGCTTTGCCTTTTCTCATCAACAGGCTTTTTCAGATGTAAGCCATGAGCAGACACAGGGCTAAGCAAATTTAAGAGGTGGAATCAGGACTAAGAAAACTTTTGAGAACATGAGGCTCCTGGGAAGGACAGCTTCAAGTTACCTCTGTGCTGCAGGACTTGGTGCACTTCACGGTACACAGAGAATAACCTGCCTGAGCAAAGGTGTGTAACTGACCATGAAATAAAACAAGTTTCCTCTTCCCTCATTTTTGATACAGCGCACTCATTTCTCAGACCGACCAACTGACTGATGCATCTTCAGGGCTAATAACTCGGCTGAACAGCCAATTCCCCAGCTAGAAACAACTTTAACCAGCTTGCCTCTCAGAGAAAAACAACTAGAGGGTCTGAGGACATGGCTACCTATCGTAAATTAAAGATCTGTAGAAGGACTGCTCCAAACTCCCAGCCAATAAGTGCTTAATCAGCCTCCTTTCAAAAAAAGTTCTTCCTCTTAATTTATCCGCTTCCTGCTGCCTGTGAACACCCCTTTTTCGTAAGAGGGAGGGGCCATGAAGATGGAAAATAACCATCACCTTCCTGTGTACTAGTGCGGAGGCTTCAGCTGTCTGTGACCAAATTCTCTTCCAGGCCGCTTCTGAGGCTGGGCCGGTGCTTAAGATGATTCCTCATCTGCTGTCCTCTAAAACCCAGAGCCAGTGAAGACCTTTCTACTGCTTCTCTGGTGAAGGACGGGCAGTCAGCTGTGAGAGGCAGCAAGTGGCGCCTGACATCTCATTTCTCAACAACTGCCTCACACACTATTTGCTCTGATAAAAATTTCCTTATCCAGTGGGTTTTTAGAGACGTCTTCTAAAGCAGCTCTGTCCTCTAACCCCCTCAGTGAAACGCGTGCTAAAACCCCAGAGCGAGCAGCGGGGTCACAGTGACCTCCTTCCAGGGCAGGGCCCAAGGCTTTCATCTTGATAGAGGTGGACTCCCTCGCCTTCGCAGCTGCCTGCGGGGGGCCAAAGCGCTCTGACCCCTGCATCACAGGGTCTTCTCCCCTCACTGCCGACGCCTAGCTGACCCTCCAGCAGGTTTTCAGAGACCAGACCGCACAGGGGAAAACTGCCCAGCTTTCTCTTGCTGGCGGATTACAGCTGCCCACCTTTGAGCTTTAGCCACCCGTCCCTCCCCTTACTGAGATCTAAACCAAAACCCTCTGGCCTGTCCACTCCACTCCGATTCTCTACGGCCAATTAGATTGCCCCCAGCAGGTTTCTAAGGCTGTTAATCTTCACCGGAGCTCAGTGCTTCAGGGAGGAGACCTGGGCGGGGGGGGGGCTGGAATCTCCTTACTTTCGAAGAGCGGACAACCGCTCTGACCACGGCGCCACCAGGGCACTTCAGTAACACGTGACACTGCCCCCACCCAAACACACCATTTAAACAGGTTGGTGTGGGAACCACACGGCCTGAACTGGGAACAAGGTGCAAGCTGCCTCTGAAAACACCCAAATTAAAAACTCATTCCCGCTTCCAGCGCAGGTCCCGGGCCGGGGACGAAGGGGCCTGGCCGCGGGGCCCCCCGAAGGCACGGGCCCTTCCGGCTCTCAGCGCGTTGAAGGACCTCAGCACGTGGTCAGAGAACTCGAGTGGAAATGCAAAGTGTCAGCCGACCCAGGAGACCGGGCAGCAACAGCCACCGCGGAGGGAGCCTGCCGGGCTAGGAAGCTTCCGGTGTCAGACCGCGCAGGCGCCCCGAGGCCCCGCCCGCGCAGGCGTCTCCTGACATCCCGACTGCGCAGGCGTCACCGGCGGTGGGGGCCGAGCAGGCGCCCTGACGTCCTTGGAAGACCGATGACGATGGCGGCGGAGCGGCCGAGACGCCGCGGCTGCGCACGCGTCCTTGGTACCCCGGCTGCGCAGGCGCTGTGTCCGGCCCAATATGGCAGCGGCGCTGCTGCTGCTGCGGCCCCTCCGCCGGGCCCCGGGCTCAAGGCTCGGGTGGCTCCGGAGCCCGGGCCTGCCCGCTGGGTTCGGGAGAAGGCGGCCATACTTCGCTCAGGGGCCTCCAGGGAGTCTGGTCGAGGCTGGAGGCCGAGCCCTGCAGGTAATCCCTCGGGCTGCTCTGGTCCTGCAGGACGCCTAGGCGTTGTTTTCCGCTTGGATGTCAGTGAACATGGCAGAGTGTCGAGTGCTTGGGACGTGGACGCGCAGCCGGGCCGGCCAACCCTGGGAGAGGCAGGCCTCGGCGAGCAGTCCTCCAGAGGTTTTCTGTTTAGAGTTGGTCCCAAGCTGCAAGGAGCTCTGCTGGTGTGGTCCAGAGCCAGTTGCGCTGCTAACCGAAAGGCTGCGTATGTCTGCCGGTTCGAATCCACCAGTGGCTCCTAAGAAGGCTGGGCACTCTCTTCCCGGTCAGTTGTTCCCACTCCACGGCAAGGAGTTTTCCTAGTTGCCCGTAGGGTATATTCGCTCTCTCTTCCTTTGCGACAGATCATCTGTCAGGAACTTTTTGTATGTCCAGGATGTCACATGTCTGCGTTTGTTTTTGTAACGTGGTTTGTTTGACCCCTTGCACGCCTTCATTTATTATCAGTTTATTCAGCACCACCCTGTGGAGGTGCCTCACTTTCCCCTAAGACTAGTCAACTGACTTCTAGTTGGCGACCTGTGGACAGCAGAATAAAGAATGGAACTGGAGTCTCATTCCCGCTCACCGTGCTTGCTCAAAGAACGCATGCTCCCACAGCCGTGACAGGCGGACCCACGTTAGGTTCCAGACCAGCCAATAGAGCAAATAGTACACGGCGTAAATAGAGTCACCATAATTTTTGGTTTCCCAGTGTATATGTTAAGTGTGCAGCAGCGTTCCTGGGAGGAATGAAGCACACGAGAACTGAGCACTTCCGGTTGGAAAAGCTGGTGCTGTAGACCACTCCAGGCAGGGTCGGCACACACGTCTGTTTGTGCAAAATGTAGTATCTGCGTAAGGTGAAGTGCAGTGCAGTAAAGATGTGCTCTGGACGGTGTGTGCATACTGGTTTCCTCCTAGCTGTCATCTGGCTAACCAATTGAGTGCCTAGCCAGTTACTGTCAGATGCTACCATGACCCAGCGAGGACCAGCCAGAAGTTTACTCTGTATCCCCCAAAGTCCATTCCTGTGATCAAACACCATTAAACCGTTGTGACCCATAGGGTTCTCATGGGCTGGATTTTGAGGTGTAGATTGCCACACCTTTGTTCCTAGTCTCTTAGTGTGGAAGGTCCACTGAGACATAGTGTCTCAACGCAGTTACCTCTGCTGACAGATGGGTGGTGCTTATCTATGACCTGCATCTGCTTGGAACCTGGATTTGGTCCCCACATGGAGGGCAAGAATCCTGCTGCTAGGTCACCAGTGTCCTTTCTACTAAGATTAATTAGCATCCAGCAGACAAACAAACAAGGCTAAATTCTTTATATCCTTTGGCTTTTTTTTTCTCAACCTCTCTGTTGGGTATTTGGCTCTTACACTCTCACAACTTACTGTGATATTTTACCATAGTTTGTGAGGACCAGTTTGAGTTAAGTACCCTGTTTCAGACTGCTGGCTGCCCTTCCTGAATCTGAGCAGCTGATTTATTCCATAGCAGGATTGGAGATAGTCTGTGATCCTTTGTCTGAAGTTCTGTGTCTTGAAGCAAATTCCTACTTAGGGAACATCATAAGAGCTGAAGTAAGCAATTCACTTGTGAAACCTCACCAGTAGCTAGAATGCAAAACCTCTTCAGATTAACAGATGTAAAGGAAGAAAGTTGTCCATTGGGTGTTCTCTAACACCTACTGCAGCTGCACTGTGACCCTTTCCTCTCAGCTGACTTCTGCTCCCTGCTGGGCCAAGAACAATTGTTATTGTTAGGTGCCTTGAGGTCAACGATGACAGCACCCTATGGACAACAGATCTGAACCTGACCCTGTCACCACTGTGTCGGTTCATCTCACTGAAGATCTTGATTTCTTTCACTGACTCTACTTTTCTGAACATAATGTCTTTACCCCCCCCCAAGAGCAATAGTATTAGGTAATAGGCAACAGTGGTCAAATTTGAACTGGTTCACAGCTGATCCTACAGTGGGTTTTCAGAGGCAGTCAGCTGCACAGGAGGAGATTTGAACCATTTGTTTTCGGGTTGACAGAACAGCTCTTTACCACTAGACCCCCAGAGCTCTCCAGTAAAGTCAGTGAACAATTAAACACAGTCTGTTGTACAGACTGCATTTTTGTGCTGTTGATGACAGGAAATGACAGGAACTCCTTGACACAGTGTGGAGCTTGCTGTTCGGCTTTCATGGCAGCTAGGGAACAGGGAGGAGCTGAGACGAACCAATAGAAGAGAGAAACCACCACACAGAAGGGGGAAGAGAGAATGGAGCTGTTCTTGTGAACTGGTGGCGATAGGAATGGCCTGCAGATGCTCCACGTTGTTCTTTTCTTTGCAGAGCTTACAGTTCCGGCTGCTGACACCTACCTTTGACGGGATCGTCGGAGTGTTACTGAAGCAACACCTGATTCAGAATCCAGTTAGACTCTGGAAAATCTTAGGTGTGTGCATGCTGAAAGACACATGACTAGACAGAGGTGTTTTCTGTTTTGAGTAGTGGAGCCTCTGGCCCTTTGGGTGTCTATGTCTGTGAGTAAATTTGGGTTGGTTTCTGGATTAAGAGTGACAGGAAGTCTGTCCATTTCCTCTGCCACTGGGGGCCCTAAAAAAGCTTGTGTTTAGTAATACTTGGGCTCCGTGAGGAAAACTTCCCACTGTTTTGTCCTCTCCACGACGTTGTTATTTTCCCACCACCCTGTAACAAGGCCCTGCACATGGTGCTGCATGTTTTCTATCCCAAGCAATACTCCCATGTAGACTTCGTCTCCCAGCAGCCCTGCAGGATACAGGTCCCCATGGCTCTCCTCTTCCCAGAAGCTCACTGCCCATCTTCTCCCATGGTGCTACCAGGGTTCCCTGGTCTCGTGTCAGAAAGTAAAAGCAGCCTGGAGCCCATGTGCCATTTAAGGAGAGACTGGCAGGGAGCTCTGGTGGCCTAGTGGCAAGGAGCTGCAACTACAATCCCAGAGGTGCACGGTTCGAATCCACCAGATGCTCTGCCGGGGAAGGAGGGACAATCTCCTCCTGTACCAGTCAGATCTGATTTGACGGTACACGCACACAAAAATTAAAAAAAAAAAAGGAGAGACTGGCATGCTCTGCTATGGGTGTGTCCTTAAGGCAAAGGACAGTAAGAGCTGAGAGGGTCATTTCCCTCCCTCCTTTACCCAATGTGGGAGAAAGATGGACAGTCTTTCCCACATAATTTACAGCCTCTGAAGACTGGAGGATGAGCTGTGGGTCAGTTCTGACCCAAGGGCAGTGAGTTAAGCTGTCGAGTACCCTTCATCGTGAGGGGAGGGTGCTGCCTGGAGGGATAGCTACTGCACACTTGCTGTGGGGTTTGTCTTCATTGGACTGTCCTTGAACCCAGTAGGCCCTCTGATAGGAAGCACACGTTCCCAGTTCCGCATTAACCAGGGACTCTGAACCACATCAGGAAGCTGGTGGTGCATTGCTTTATGTGCTGAGCTGCTAGCCACTCTGAAGAATGATGACAGTTTCTTATAAAAACATGGAGCCTCCGTGACTGAGACCAGAAGAACTGAGTGGAGCCTGGCATTGCTGACTGCTCTGAAAGGGTTCACTGCAGAAAATGCTGGAGGAGGCAATGAAAATATGGAACAAAATTCCATTGCAAAAGATGGCCAGGTTTACTGATCCAATAGGAACTGCTGGAACCCCCAAGACTGTGATCCTCAGTCCCCTTCAAACCTGCAACAGAACACCTTGGTGGCTCTGCTTGCCTGTCAGGTGAGCAGTAGGTCTATGAGGTGGACAGTGATGTCAGAGAGGCCCTCCCTCAGAGTAATCAACCATTAAGTGCTGAAAATTGTCCACAAATGACTGGAATAGTACTTCAGCAGAGAACTGCCAGGTGCGCAGGCTGGGTTTAGAAGAGGCCATGGCACTAGAGCTATCATAGCCAATGTGGGGTAGAACTTGGCTAAAAGTAGTACCAGAGGAATATCTATATTTCATTAACTATGCCAAGGTGTATGACTGTATGGATCTCAGTGGCTAACTGAGAGGAATGGGAATCGCAAAACCTCTGATTGTGTTTATGTGAAATCTGTACTTGGACCAGGAAGCAATCCTCAGAACAGAGCAGGGAAACACCGCATGGTTCAACATCAGGAAGGATATACCATAGACACATAATTTGAATTTAGCAGATGCTCTGCTGGAGAAGGAGGGACAATCTCCTCCTGTGTCAGTTGGATCTGATTTGATGGCACACAACAAGAAGAAAAAGAAAATCAGGAAGGGTGTATGCCAGGAATGCATCCTATCTTCATACTGTTTCAATCTGTATGCAGAACAGATCATCTGGGAGGCTGGGCTCTATTAAGAGGAATGTGGCATCACAGTTGGAGGTGGGCTCATCAGCAACCTGCATTATGCAGATGATACAGCCCTGCTTGTAGAAACAGGAAGACCTGAAGCATTTGCTGGAGAAGGTTAAGGACTGCAGCCTTCAATACGGATTGAACATCAACATCAAGAAAACAAAGATTCTTACCACTAGGCCGATTGGCAGTATCATGATAGATGGTGGAGAGATTGAGATTGTTAGCTTCAGCTTGCTTGGTTCCACAGTCAACACTCTTGGTATCAGCGGCCAGGAAATCAAAAGATGAATTGCATTAGGAAAATCTGCTGTCAGAGACCTCTCCAGAGTACTGAAGAACAACAGCGTCAGTCTAGAGACTAAGGTGCACCTGTTCCGGGCCATGGTCTTTGCAATTGCTTGCTTAGCATCAGAAAGCTGGACAGTGACTAGAGATGAAAGAATTGATTGATGGAGAAGAGTATTGACAATACCATGGACTACTAAGAGAACAAACAGGTTTGTCTTGGAGAGAGTGAAACCAGGCTGCTTCTTGGAGGCAAGGATTTTAAAGCTCTGTCTGACATATTTTGGGCATGTTGCAATGAGGGACGAGTCCTTGGAGATGGGCATCATGCTGGGAAGCATGGAGGGACAGCACAAGAGAGGAAGATCCTAGATGAGATGGATTGACTCAGTGACTAGGGTTATGGGAGTAGGTGTGTCAGAGACAATGAGGTTGGCTGAAGATAAGAGCTGGGTTCAGATGTAAGGGTTGCTATCAGCTGCAAGCGCCTCAACAGCACACAACAAGAAGTGCAGAATCTTGTTATAGGTCAATCTCAGAAGACAGGAGAGAAGGATTAATTGAAATGCATGTCACAGGGAAACAGTGGGAAGAGTTAATACTGGATGTTTTAATTAGTAGGATAAAACAGTATGTGTGACTGATTTACTGGAAAACCAGTTATCTTTGTAAATGTTCACTCAGAACATGGTAGAGAAGGGGAGAAAAAAGATGTACAGCTTCCAGACTATACAGAAGGCATCTATGACTGAGACCAGGTCCAAGTCCTTGGTGATTGTGAGGACAGCTGTGTAGAGAACATTACAACTTGTGATCACAGCTCTCGAGGGAGCATTACAGGGTTACATGATTGTGATGACAGCCCTGTAGGGAGCATTACAACTTGATGATGATAGCAGCTGTGTAAACAACACTACGATGTTATGTGATGACAGGTCTGTTGTTGTTGTTGTTGTTGTTTGATGCCGTCGAGTCATAGACGACTCATAGCGACCCTGTGAATGAACAGCCTGATCACTGTTTGTACATAGAGTTTCCGGATCAAGCCATTTCAGAAGTGGATGCCGCTCCTGCTTCCAGGATTGATTTAGTTGGGAAGCTCCAGCCAACACTGTGCACCATGGGTACCCGTTACCACGATTGGCACATCACTGTCGCAGTCTTCAGCATCACAGCAACCACGAGTTACCTCTGTACAGCAACGCACAGACCAGTGCTATACCACCTAGAAGAATGTTTGACAGGAAGACAGTTTGAACCTGGCCGAGGGCCACAGAGTAAAATCACCCACCTTCGGCTTGGTAGCATAGCTTCTTTCCACTAGGCCAACGTAGCTCTCTCTTGGCAGGTCTGTAGACAACTTAAAATGTTACATGATTGTGATGACAGCTCCATAGAGAACTTACAGTGTTACCTGATTGTGATGACAGCTGTGTAAACAACACTACAGTGTTACACGATCATGATGACAGGTCTGTAGACGTTACAATGTTACATGATTGTGATGACAACCATGTAGACAGCATTACAACTGTGATGACAGGTCTGTAGAAAATGTTACAATGCTACATGATTATGATGACAGCTCTCTAGAGAATATTATGGTGCTACATGGTTGCGATGACAGGTCTGTAGAGAACAGTACAATGTTATGTGATTGTGATGACAGGTCTGCAGAGAACAGTACAACCTTAAGGGATTCTGATGACAGCTATGTAGAGAACATTAGAAAGCTGTGGCTCAAGTCATGCCTGTGACATTCTCCATTTCTAAACAAACTGATGATGAGAGATTCCCATGAGGATAGCCCTCCTTATGATGAGTGTCCTGGGGTCATGGAGCTGGGATTTGTTGCTGTTGTCACATGTGTCAAAGCCACTTGTGTTGTTTACTTGTTTAAGTTAGTTTAAAGTGTCCTATTAAGGGAGCTCTGGTGGCCTAGTGATAAGAATCTGTGCTGAATTCCCGAAGGCATGCGGTTGAAATCTACCAGCTGCTCTGCCGGAGAAGGATGGATTAACTACCTCTGAAAACCTGCTGGAGGGTCAGCTGTGAATTGGTATACAACAGCAGCAACAGTCTATCAGTTGCTCTCAGTGTTTTCTTGTTTTTGTATTTACAGCTGTTGTTTTTTGCTGTCTTGGTGCCTAAGTTAAAGCACAGAGTTATTTAATGCCAAAGTTGAAACCATGTCCTGTCTTGTAAGGAGAATGACAGAAGATGTGCTGCCACCTTTACAGAGTTTTGACTTCAGGATAGTTTTTCAGATAGCTTCTGCTTTGATTGGGTTTTTGAGGGTGAGGGTTAGGGTTAGATGTCTTCCCTGAGTTGCAATACTGGCTGATAAGTACGCTTGCTGTTCTCTGCAGGTGGCACCTACTATTTTAGTTCTTCAAAGGTGAAACAGAAGAGTAAGGACAGTGACAAACCCAGGGCGAAGACACCTGAGGACGATGAAGGTACCTCTGCCTACTGTTCCTGAACATGCACCATTGCTGGTCTCTGTGTGTGTCCAAGCACCTGCAGCCACTAGGGCTCAGAGCACCTGCCCCTGGCTGGGCATGAATGGTTGGGAACCTTTCAGAGGCGTTTCCATTGCACACATGTGCCATGTCTGGGCAGTAGCACCCACTAGCAGAACAGACTCTGCTTGGTGTGTGAAGGACGCAGGTGTCTATAGAGTGTCTTTTGAAAGAGCTTGCTCCTAAGTGCGTGCTGATGCTGTCCCGATGCTGTGGAGAGCTGGAGGCCTAGGTGTGCGTGTAGAGAAGTGATCGCGTGAATGAGGGTAATGTTGAGGTGGTTTAGGTATGTACTTTAAAGAGATGGCGGGCTGGGTGAGTGTGGAAAGGAGGGGATGCTTGCCTGCTTGGCAAGCGTGGCGAGGAGGGGATGTTCTGAGCGAGTGTGGCGAGGAGAGGGTGTTGGGTAAGCTTGGTGAGGAGGGGTGTTCTGAACGAGCGTGGCAGGGAGGGGGTGTGAGCGTAGCGAGGAGAGGCTAGTCTCTAAGGGAGATGTAGAGGTGGTTCCGATGAGTGTCACCAAGAAGAGGTGGCCTAGATGAGTGTGTCAGGTGCTGGGATCCTTGGGGAGGAGATCCTGGCCTCTACAGGCCCTGCATGCAGTCACACACCAAGATGCTTGTGGGTTCTTGTGCCGCCTCCCGACTCCGCCCTGTCCTTGGGCCCCCTCTGAGGTGCAGGCCGGGCCCCAGCCCCTAGCCTTAGTCGTGTGTCTGTCTCCCACGGCTGCTTGTCAAGAGGAGAGGAAGCGGAAGGAGCGAGAGGACCAGATGTACCGCGAGCGACTGCGCACACTCCTCATTATCGCCGTCATCATGAGCCTGCTTAACTCCTTCAGCTCTGGCGGTAGCAGCATCTCCTGGAACGACTTCGTCCACGAGATGCTGGCCAAGGGCGAGGTGCAGCGCGTGCAGGTGGTCCCCGAGAGTGACGTGGTGGAGGTCTTTCTGCATCCTGGGGCCGTGGTGTTCGGGCGCCCGGTGAGTCCTGCAGGCCCACAGGCTGAGGCTGGGACAGGTGTTCGGGGGCTGGCAGTCTTCACCTCAGTGCTTTGGACTCAAGCCCTGTGCTCCCCAGAAACATACAGTGTCCTTTAGATGAGATCATCACACAGCCTTGTGGTCCCCAGTCAGTATGTGAAGCATCGCACCCACGGGAGAGCAGCCTGCCCCCTTCCCAGTGGTGAAAAATAGAAGGTGTTGAAGCTGTGTTTGACAGAAATCAGGACTTTTTATGACTTGGGAATCTTTCCTGAATGGGAGAAGAGACATCCTGTCCTAGGACACTGAAGTGATTGTAGACTGTTACAGGCTACCCTCCACTGACGGGGGCACCCCAAGGTGGCCCCCCCTCATGGAGTTCTGCTTTATGCCCCCAGCGCTTGTCCTTGATGTACCGCATGCAAGTTGCAAACATCGACAGGTTTGAAGAGAAGCTTCGGGCAGCCGAAGACGAGCTGAACATTGAAATCAAAGATCGTATCCCAGTCTCCTACAAGCGCACAGGCTTCTTTGGAAAGTAGGTGCTCTTGGTCGGCTTTGCCTCTGACCTAAACCGGGCTTCGTCTCATCTGTCGGCCCCATCCTCACAGTCCCCAGGGTTTCTGCGTGCTGGGTGGTAGACCCAGAGCCCTGGGGGGTTGGAGGTGTGCCAGCGCAGAGTCCTTCCAGTCTTTCCTGTCTCTCTTACGTTGCTCTTCAGTCAGACCAATTCACTGCTGATTCTGCAGTGGGTTTTCAGAGGCTGTTAAATCTCACAGGAGGAACAGTTCTTGATTTGAACTGCCGGCCTTTGGGTTAGCAGTGCATTTCCTTATCTACTAGGCCACCAGAGCTTCCCTCATCCTCTCTATTCTTGGGCATTTCTGCTGTATTTGAACAGAGTAGAGCAGAAGGGGAGATAGGAGGCCTGGACAGTTCCTGTTTCAGGGCTTCAGGGGAACGAGCGGGAGCTAGTGGTCACGGTGGGCCTGGCCACTCAGTACTGCGTGGTGTGGGGCAAGCAGAGGTGGGTACATGGCATACTGCTGATGTCGGACACCACCAGTGCCTGTCTGGACACTGTCCCCTGCCCTGGGCTTAATGCAGGCACAGTGCTCCGAGGCAGCTCCAGTTCAGTGCTGGCTGATGGGCTGATGGCAGAGCCCTCCTGGGGTAACAGCACCAGCATGCAGGTGTTACTATGGTCCTTGGGCCCAGTGCAGGCTGTGGACAGTCAGGCTCCACATGAACCCCCATGTCCACGTGTGGCCTTGGCAGCTGGGACACAAAGCCTGTCTTCACTGCTGCAGAACTCCCCTCGCTGCTTTCAGCCCTCTGTGCTTGGGTTCTCAGCTCTGACTTTATGAAAGGTCGCTGTCAGTGGCTGGGAGACAGTGAAGACCCCTGTAATGTGCCCCTCTCCCACCCTCTCTCCTCCACCAGTGCCCTGTATGCCTTGGGGATGACAGCCGTGGGCCTGGCTATCCTGTGGTACATCTTTCGGCTCGCAGGGATGACAGGCCGGGAAGGTGGATTCACTGCTTTTGTAAGTCTCATGATTCCCCAGACTTGCAGTCTCAGGCTCATCATGTCTGTACGTCAGTGCACACCCCACACGTGACACACCCCACATGTGACAGCCCAGGTGTGTGTGCATGTTGGGACACACCCCACACATGACACACCCCACACGTAACACACCTCACACGTGACAACCCAGGTGTGTGTGCATGTTGGGACACACCCCACACGTGACGGAGCCCGGGCGTGTCTGCAGGTCAGTGCACAGCCACACATCTGACACAGCCCACACGTGACGGAGCCCGGGCATGTTGATATCCGCCCCACACGTGACAGAGGAGTCTGCAGCGAGCACTTACCTGGCTATGCCATTCCTCCCCTTCCTGACTGGCCTCTGGGGTGGACAGAAGTTGGGCAGATGAGGCCTTTCCAGAGCTCACTGAGATGGTCAGTCATCCAGGAGTTACTGTGTTTTGGTTTCACTGTGGCTCAGAAGGGAGCTCTGGTGGCCTAGTGGTAAAAAGTAGTCCTGCAATCTTGAAGGCATGTGGTTTGAATCCACCAGCTGCTCTGAGGAAGAAGGATGGGCAGTTTCCTCCTGTGTGATTAAATCCCTCTAAAAACCTGCTGGAGGGTCAACTATGGGTCTCTTCTCACTTGGTACACAACAACAACTGGGTCAGAAGCTGAGGTAAAACCGTAAAGGTGTGGTGTTTGTTTTTTTTTTTTTAAATTTTATTTTTATTATTTACGTGTGTGAGTACCGTCAAATCAGATCTGACTGGTGCAGGAGGAGATTGTTCCTCCGTCTCCAGCAGAGCATCTGGTGGATTTGAACCACACACCTGTGGGATTGCAGTGCAGCTTCTTGCCACTAGGCCACCAGAGCTCACCAAACCGTAGAGGTTTTAAAAGAACCACCTTTGACGTTTCTGAGTGTTCTCAGAAACAGAGTGGCCAAGTGTCCCCCTCTGCTGTGGATGAGGGCACATCAAGTGTCAGGTACAGGAGACCATGTCCTCATACTGCTCGATGGTACAACTTCATTTTTTCTGCACAGAATCAGCTCAAAATGGCTCGTTTCACCATAGTGGATGGGAAGACAGGGAAAGGGGTCAGCTTCAAAGATGTGGCAGGAATGCACGAAGCTAAGCTTGAAGTCAAGGAGTTTGTGGACTACCTGAAGGTGAGTGTGCTGAGTCCCAGCTCGAGGGAGGCAGGTAGGCACCGACCCCCCTGGACTGGGGGATCCCTGGTAAGACAGGTGGAGTTCAGGATCCCCAGACACTCACTGTCTGGCTGTCACTGCGGGCCACCCTGTAGCCCAGGCCGTCCCCAGATACCACACAGCATGAGGTTGCTGGCCACTAGAGGAGAGGGCTAGTCATAGTCAGTGCCATCTCTGTCCGCTCCCAAACACAGGGTCGCTGGCCTGCCTAGGAGGGATCGAGGTGACAGGCACATGATGCCTGAGACCCCAGTGCCATTCTCTGTGCCCTGCAGAGTCCAGAGCGCTTTCTCCAGCTGGGTGCCAAGGTCCCAAAGGGCGCACTGTTGCTCGGCCCCCCTGGCTGTGGGAAGACTTTGCTGGCCAAGGCAGTGGCCACAGAGGCCCAGGTGCCCTTCTTGGCGATGGCCGGATCTGAGTTTGTGGAGGTCATTGGAGGTAGGTATCGCCAGGGCTGAGGGCTGGACCATTCTCCATTCATACCTCCATAGTCAAGGGAGGATTTTGAGGGATCTTACAGAGCCCATGTTGCATGGAAGCACTGTACTTAACTGCCTGTGGGTCAGGTAGCTGGGACATAGCCCTGCTCCATGTGGAGTTCAGAGGAGGCTGGTTCAGATGAGGTCTAAGGATCCGTGAAGTCCCCTCAATCCCTCATTCCCTGCTCTCTGTCCCCAGGACTGGGTGCCGCTCGCGTGCGGAGCCTTTTCAAGGAAGCCCGCCACCGGGCCCCCTGCATCGTGTACATCGATGAGATCGATGCTGTGGGCAAGAAGCGCTCGACGGCCGTGACTGGCTTCTCCAACACAGAGGAGGAGCAGACACTCAACCAGCTGCTGGTGGAGATGGACGGTGAGTGTTGTGGGACTAGGAGGGCCATGAGAGTGGACGGGGAGGGCTGGGAGAGTGGATAGTGAGCGTGGTGGGACTAGGAGGTTGGGAGAATGGATAGTGACAGAGCAGAGAGAATGGACAGTGCGGGCCGGGAGAGTGGACATTGCGGGCCGGGAGGCAGGCAACAGGACTGAGAGGGGCTGATGTTGAGGGCCGGGAGTGTTGGACAGTGACTGGTGAGGGCTGAGACTGATGAGAAGAGCAGGATCCCGGAGGAAGCAGATGATGAGGTCTGAAGAGGTGAGGCCTGGAAGGGAGTGGTGGACAGTGAGGATTGGGAGTGGACTGTGAGCGCGCTAGGGAGCCAAGAGGAAGCGTCCTGTAAGGGAATGGTGAGGCCAGGAAAACGCCCGTGTGCCGGCAGGGCAGAGGGTGCCCACATGGGCAGCAGGGTCTGCACAGATGAAGCTGCAGCCCTGGACGAAGGAGGAGCCATTGTGTGCTGGCGCAGGTGAGGACAGCGTTCCTGCTCCAGACACTGCTCGCCGGCAGTCAGCCTCCAGAAGCTGTCAGAGAACCTCACTTAAACTCAGAAACCAGTTTCTGAGAGGCGGGTCCAGGCCTACGTCCCTTCCTGGGTTCTCAGTGTCACTGAGCCTGGAGGTCACTGCTATGGTGTGTGCTGCCATGAGCCTCCTGGCCAAGCCAGGGCACTGGTCAGGGCTGCCCAGGGAATTCAGATGGCTACTGGTGGTCTGGGCTGTGCTGTTTCCAGTACGAAAGGCAAGCCGGCTCAGTGACAAGAACTTCAGCAACCTCTGAAGGGTCACTTTTCCCTGACCAGGTCCTGACTGCTTCATTGGCATTGTGCACACCAGGAGCTGCACTTGACCCCTCATGACACCCCTTGTGTGTCAGGGTAGAGCTGTGCTCCCGGCTGTCAGCATAGACCCGGGCCTTTCTCCAAGGAGCCTTGCAGCTGGCAGCCCTGGGGTTAAAACCCACTACCTAAAAAAAAAAAAAACAAAAAAAACCCCACTACCTGTAGAGCCTGGTCCTCAGTTAGGAAAGAGCTGCGTGGTTATAGCCCAGCCACCTGTCCGGAGGGCATGGTGGCAGGCTGAGCCTGTTCCATGGTCAGCCCTCACAGGACACATGGCATCCTCCCTGCCTGCACTGACCACTGGCCATAGCTGCCCTCATGGTGGCACTTGTGTGACCATCACTCACAGTTACATGGGACATATCTAAAGGCTGCATGTGTATACTTCCTCCAGGAATGGGCACGACTGACCACGTCATTGTCCTGGCGTCCACCAACCGGGCCGATATTCTGGACAGAGCACTGATGCGGCCTGGCCGACTTGACCGTCATGTCTTCATCGACCTTCCCACCCTGCAGGTGAGGACAGCCAGAAACACCACCTCGGCTCCCACAAGCCTCCCCTATAACCTCTGGGGGACTTTTTTGTGAGGGTTGTTGTTGTTATGTGCCGTTGAGTCACTTGCGACTCAAAGATGCTGGGCTGTGTCCGACCCTGCATCTCCCTGATCTCATAGGAGAGGAGAGAAATCTTTGAGCAGCATCTGAAGAGTCTGAAGCTGACTCGGGAAAGCAACTTCTATTCGCAACGCCTGGCAGAGCTGACCCCCGGATTCAGTGGTAGGGACTGTTTCCTCCATGCAGCATGCAGCTCCCTGTATTTAGAGGGAGCAAGAGACCCACCATGGCCTCTGTCCTGTCAGGACCTGGTGACAGCAGAGTATACCTACTCCCCAGTCTTCACAGGACTCGATGCAGACAGCACTACAGAAATGGATTCGGATGCAAACTAGGCACCCCTTTTTCCTCATCCTGATAGTCTTTTCTTATCAGTGTCTCTACAAACCCAGTCCTTGAACATCTGCACCACAACATCTGTGAGCAATAAACAGAACCCAGGCCCAGCTCACAGTGACCCCCTGGGGTTCACAGGACACTGCCCGTCTTTCTCCTGTGGAGCAGTTGGTGATTTAAAGCCACCAGCCCAACACTTAACAGCCTTGCCACCAAAGCTCCCATCTATAAACAGGACGGGGGAGCTCTGGTGGCTTAGAGACAAGAAGCTGCGCGGCAATCCTGAAGGCACGCATTTCAGATCCACCAGATGCTCCGCTGGAGAAGGAGGGAGAATCTCCTGTCTCAGTCAGATATGATTCGACGGTACACTACAAAGGGGAGTAAATTTAAAAAACCATAAACAGGATGGTCTGTGGGTGCTGGCCCACCAGGCTAGGAGGTGCTGACCGCAGACACATGCAGGTGTCCTGAATCTAGTGTGCAGTAAGTCAGGAACCAAGCTCCGAACCCTCGACGGTGCTGTTGTCTGAGCCACCGCGTTCCGCTGCACCTCACCAGGTCAGCCGTGTGAGCCCAGCGTGTCCCACCATTTGTGTCCACAGGTGCTGATATCGCAAACATCTGTAACGAGGCTGCGCTGCACGCTGCTCGCGAGGGCCACACATCTGTGCACACGTCCAGCTTCGAGTACGCCGTGGAACGTGTCCTGGCAGGTACAGGTGCTCCCACTGCGGGCCTGCATGCCCCTTCCAATGCCCCGCCGTGTGCCACGTGCTGGGGTCTTAGAGTGTGTGCTCCAAGACACACAGGTACGGAAGGATGCAGGGTGTAAGTGTGCTATTTGTAAATGCACCAGAACCTGTTTTGTTTGTTTAACTCGTGGAAGTAGAAGATTCGGCTCTGGCCCTCCCTCCCTGTTTCCCCTGCAGCAGTGGGGTCCAAGGGATGGAAGTGCAGACTGACACAAGAGACCCTGGGTTAGGTGGCCCTGGTGGGGTAGCCGTGATCCTGGGGTGTCTGCAGCAGCAGTGAGGTCATACCATCCTCTGTGGCCACCCCTGGCACTCCTAGGCACTGCTAAGAAGAGCAAAGTCCTGTCGAAGGAGGAGCAGAGGGTGGTGGCATTTCACGAGTCGGGCCACGCACTGGTCGGCTGGCTGCTGGAGCACACAGAGGCTGTGATGAAGGTGGGCAGCCACACTGCTCTGTCCAAGTACAGTGAGAGTGTACGTCAGTGTGTCCATGTGCGCGGCTGACTGCACACACGCGGGCAGGTGTGCACACGTACACACATACATGCTCTCTGGAAACAAACTACAGCCTGATACAGTCTTAGAACAGCAGCCTGATGGTGAGAAGGGAACAGGTGAGGTGATTGGAGCGGGGGAGGTGATTGGGTGAGGTGAGGAGGGCAGGTGGGTTCAGGTGAGGAGGTGAGGTGACTGGGTGAGATGGTCCAGTGAAGAGTGCAGGTGAGGAGACCAGGTGAGCTGGTTGCATTGGGGAACAGGTGAGCTAGGACCAGGTGTGCATGTAATAGCCAGAGCCGTGGGTGCTAAGTGTGCACGTGGAATAAGACAGATGTGTGCCTGGGGTCTGGCTGCCATCCCCCAAGTGTGGGGTCTGAGGGGGACAGTTACCATCCTCCGAGGGAGCACTGCTCTTCCGTCCTTGAAGTGTAGGGTCTGTGTAAGCACTGCCATCCTCTATCTCCTGAGTATGAGATCTGCACGGGGCACCACCATGTGTGTGCTTAACATGGGAATCACCGCCTGAGTGTGGGGTCGGCGTGGGGAATCACCACTCCGAGTGTGGGGTCGGCGTGGGGAATCACCACTCCGAGTGTGGGGTCGGCGTGGGGAATCACCACCCCCTGAGTGTGAGGTCGGCATGGAGAATTACCTTCCCCTGGGGGTGGGGTTGGCCTGGGTAATCACCACCCCAAGTGAGGTCAGCATGGGGAATTACCCTCCCCTGACTGTGGGGACGGCATGGGGATTAGAACCCGCTTAGTATGGGCTGGATGTGTGGGGAATCACCACCCCAGAGTGCCGCTTGCACCCGTCCTGCCACTTTCATACATTGGTTTAACGTCTCTTGGGCTGAGATGTGGCCTTCACGTATGCCCCAGGCCTGCAGTGTCACCTAATTCAAAACATTGCCTTCCGCACGTGCATGGCTGCCCCCAGGACCATCAGCCTCCTACACCTCACTGTCGTAACAGGCTCTGGAGCCTCATGGAGTCTGTGTCCACCAAGACCCCTTGGCTGACCGGTCCTGATGCCCACAGGTCTCAATCGCGCCGCGGACCAATGCAGCCTTGGGCTTCGCGCAGATGCTGCCCAGGGACCAGCACCTCTTCACTCAGGAGCAGCTGTTTGAGCGCATGTGCATGGCACTGGGCGGCCGTGCCTCTGAGGCCATCTCCTTCCACAGGGTCACATCCGGTGAGTCGCGGGTCTCCCAGCGTCAATGGTGCGGGAGGCGGAGGGGGTGTGTGCCCAGGTCGACTCAGTGCCTGGGAGGATGCGGGGGGACGGAAGAAGGAGCAGATGGTGTCAGTGGTGCACACAGAGGACGCATCCATCACACACGATGGAGAGCAGAGCAGGAGCACTTGGGCAGCCTCTGCCATTCAGGCACTGAGAGGCCAAGGGTCCCTGTGACAGTGGCCATGGCCCTCCTCGGGGTCTAGGGTCGCACAGCCTAGCAGGTGTGAGTCAGTCACTTCTTAGGGAGTGCTGGCTCCCTGAAGGAGTTCAGAGAGATGGACACTCCTCGGCCCCACAGTGGTTCTGAGGGAGCGTCCCCAGCATCGTGGAGGTTCTGAGGGAGGACCCCACCCCCAGCATCATCATGGTTGTTCTAAAAGAGGGTGGTTAAGCCTGGTGAGTATGCCTCTGGCCATATCTTAGGGGCACAGGATGACCTGCGGAAGGTCACCAAGATCGCCTACTCCATGGTGAGGCAGTTTGGGATGGCGCCAAGCATCGGCCCAGTCTCCTTCCCTGATGCCCAGGAGAACCCAACTGGGGTTGGCCGACGCCCCTTCAGTCAGGGCCTCCAGCAGCTGATGGACCACGTGAGTGCCCAGCCTCAGCTTCCTCCGGGTGCCAGGGGTTGTCATGCTGCCCACATGACAGAAGCCATGTCTGCACACGGGCCTCTCTTTGCAGGAAGCCAAGCTGCTGGTTGCCAAGGCCTACAGACACACAGAGCAGGTGCTGCGGGACAACCTGGACAAGCTGGAGGCGGTGAGGGCCAGGGGGTGCTACATGGTCACTGCCCAGACTCTCTGTGGAAGTGGGATGCCAGCCCGGTCATGCCCAGTCCCCCTGGAGTGAGGGGGGAAGGGAGGACGCCAACCCGGTCATGCCCAGTCCTCCAGGAGTGAGAGGGGAGAGAGGCGATGCAAGCCTAGTTATTGTCTAGTCCCTCAAGACTGCGGAAGTTGGGGGATGCAGAAGTTGAAGGACACCAGCCTGCTCACTGCCCACTCATTGTCCAGTCTCCCAGGAGGAAGGGGCGACACCAGCCTGGTCATTTTCCAGTTCTCCCAGAGTGAGAGTGGGAGCAATGCTGTCCCTGTCCACAGACATACACCGTTGGCCACTGGAGGCCAGGAGTAGGGACACAGACAGAAGTGGAGGTGATGAGGCTGGAGGCTGAGCTGGGGTCACCTCTTCCTGAGTAGCCGAGTTGCTACCCCTCCAGGGTAGTGCTGTCCTGCACATAACACCCGTTCAGCCCCAGGTTTTGCACTGAGCAGCCAAGAGGGCTTCTCGGGGAACCTGTCTGCCTCTCCTGGATACTCACTCTGCCTTGTCCCTCAGCTGGCCAATGCGCTGCTGGAGAAGGAAGTCATCAACTATGAGGACATTGAGGCCCTCATTGGCCCGCCGCCCCACGGCCCCAAGAAGCTGATCCTGCCCCAGAAGTGGTTGGATGCTGAACGTGAAAAGCAGGACTCGGCGGACGAGGAAGCCACACAGCCGCCTTCACTCAGCGGGGAGGAGCCCCCCTGGCCCAAGTAGCTTAGCTTGACCTCGGGCCTTGTGTGTTCCCACGCCCCAGGGAACAGACCTTTGTCAGCCCTTGATTCTGCTGGGCTCTTGAGTCCTTCATCGTGAATAGACTTCCCCACATCCTCTATCTCAATGGGCTCTGAGTCCCTCTGCAAGTCTCCAGTCATGGGGAGTGCTCTGGAGTCCTCTGGCCCGGGGAACAGATCTCCCTGCATCCCCAGCCGTGGTAGTGGTGTGACTCATGCCCCCCAGCATAGTCTGTAAACCTCTTTGCAGACGAATGGTTTATTTTCCATTTGTGTTGTCTCTGGAGTGGGAGGGGTTGTGCCCAGTGTCCTCAAGTCTGACTTTTACAGACATTGTCACTCTGGCTAGGACAGTGCTTACTGACCACAGGGCAGAGTGACCAGATGAATGTGTTGCCCTTGCTGACCCACAGAATACTGGTGGCGCCCATGGTGGATAGGACTCCATGGAATTCCCTTCCTGAGATCTTACAGGCCTAAACCTGGGACAGAAGCTTCAGACACTGCAGTGTCCTGTGCCAAGGACGGTGGGCTGTCTGTAGAACTGTTGTTACATGCTGGTCAGTCAGAATCCTCTCCTAGCTGACTCTCCAGCATGTTGCAGAAGCAGGAAATCATACAGGAGTTTGCCCTTTTTCCTCAGAGCAGCTTGTGGTTTGGAATCTCATGGCTTTGTGTTGGCAGCACGGCTCACTAATCAGTACGCTGCAGGGCTCCCTTCCCTGTGAGTGGAGGTGATTAAAACGCCGAGGAAGCAGCCTCTTATCGGGAGGACTGCTCCACCTCTGCTCCTGCTCTGCTGACAGTGAGCTGTTAGATCTGCGTCCACCCCCCACCCCGTCTTCCCAGGGGTCCTTTCCCCACTCTTCCTTCTTTGTTTTCACTTTTGCATAGCCTGCCTTATACTAGCTATACATCTTATTGCCTTAATAAACATTTTTCACTTGTTTCTCTAAAAAAATAAAGAATCTCAGGGCTTTCTCTATGAAAGCTGAGCATACAGGCAGCAGATTCACCCCAGACTTCCTCTGGATTTTGAATACTTTTCAAAGGACATGTGGAGCTGTGTAGGGAGGTCTGCTGACCTAGTGGTAAGAAGCTGGGTTGCGATCCCAGAGGCATGCTTCGTGGGAAAAGGATAGGCAGTCTCCTCCCATGTGATTTCCTGCCTCTTAAAACCCACCAGAGGTCACCTATGAGTTGGTTCTGACTCAGTGGCACACGACAACAATGAATCCATCCAGGCAGGGATGGATGGAGAAGTGCAGATGGTAGCATCTGATCTCCACTGACTCCATGAGTGGACAGAGTCCCCACTAAACCCCACAGCATCATCTCTGCCAGGACATTCCTGTGAGGTCGGACAGACTGAACCAACCATCATGACACCACCCTGCCCATGACATTGACTACATCTCAGCTGGTGTTGATAATTCATTACAGGAGACTCAGAATACTGAGTGACAGGGTTTCTTCGGGACATGTTAGAGTTACAAATTATAGGCAGGTTATAGTTGCAGACTGTGATGTCTCGGACACAATTCTATAATTAGGGCAGCCTCTTAGCCGTGCTGAAGGCTGGCCTGTCTGCTGAGACCAGTGCTCCAAAACTTTTAGCGCTGCTGTTTTCTAGAGTGCCAGTGGGTCTCCCTTCCACCAGTAGCCTAGATTGGCAGGTTCTAGAACTCAGCTCCTAGGTGGGCATACCCAGCTCTCAAACAGATGCCGGAGGGCGCTACTGACACCAGCCTACTGGCCAGAAGCATTCAGTTTCTCCCCTTGGGGCCAGAGGAGTCTGCAAATGCTCTCTTGCTCTCTCCTTTCAAATGTTACCTGTTCTCAGGTCCCAAGGGTAGCAGTGCTGCACTCTTTTAGGCTACCTTCCTGATTGAGATCCCCTTTCTCTGCCTCTGCTGAAGCTTCTCTTAAGTCTTAATGGGCTTAAAGTCACTCTTGGTCCTCGTGTCGGCATTGTACAGGCCTGTCTGCCTCTGCCAGAGGGTACCACTTATTTACATCGTTAGCAAGCTAACCACTCCCCTTGGTGACCTACAGACACTTCACATAGTCTCCAGGAGTATGTCAGTCTCATCCTGTGGTGGCGGCTTCACTGTTGCCGTGATACTGAAAGCTATACCACCAGCGTCTTACATATGAGCAGGATAATCACGGTGGAGAGGTTTCAAAGGAGCTTCCAGACCAAGACTAGGAAGTGGGACTACACACCACTTTTTTCTTTTCTTGGTTATTGTGTACCATCAAGTCAGATCCAACTGGCACAGGAGAATCCAGCAGAGCTTCTGGTGGACTCGAACCACACAACTTTGAGATTGCAGTGCAGCTTCTTGCCGTAGGCTACTGGAGCTTCCTTAGCCACTCATTTCTGAACTAATGAGCCTTTGAAAGCCCTGATAAGAGTGCCAGGTGAGCCCCTCAGATTGGGAGGAATTCAAAACACAACTGAGAAAGAGGTTCCCCCCTCAAAGTAGTCTTCCTTAGTGACAGAGAAAAACCTTCAGAGAATGAAGAACCGAGTCTCAAAATGAGACCGAATAGCTGCTAACATCCATTAATAATTAACTGGAACATGGAATGTCCAGAGAATGAATATAGAAAAGTGGGGAGTGTTAAAATATTATATGAAATTAAAGATTTAAACTTTAGGCACTAATGATTAAAATGAACTGGTGCTGGTAATTTTTAAATGGCTAATCATATACATAGGTTTTTATGAAACCTATATTTGGACCAAGAGGCAGTCGTCAGACCAGAGCAAGGTGACACTGCATGGTTCAAAATTGGGAAGGGGGTATGCCAGGGATGTGTCCTATCCATACCCTTTCAACTTGTATGCAGAGCAGATTATCCAAGAGGCTGGGCTCTATGAGGAGAATTGTGGCCTCAGGATTGGTGGAAGATCTATTAACAATCTGCATTATGCAGATGACACAACCCTGCTTGCTGAAACTAAGGAGGACCTCATGCACTTGCTGCAAAGGGTCAAGGACTGCAACCTTCAGCATGGACTGAGGCTCAATGTCAAGAAGACAAAAATTCTCACCACTGGACCAATTGGTAGCATCAGGATGGATGGCAAAGAGATTGAGATCGTTCACAGCTTCAATTTGCTCGGCTCCAGGGTCAACACTCTTGGCACCAGTAGCCAGGAAATAAAAAAACGTATTGCGATGGGAAAGTCTGCTGTTAGGGACCTCTCTAAAGTACTCAAGAGCAACGATGTCTCTCTGGAGACTAAGGTGTGCCTGACACAGGCCATGGTCTTTGCAATCACTTGTTATGCATCAGAGAGTTGGGCGATGACTAGGGAGGATAGAAGGAGAATTGATGCCTTTGAGCTGTAGTGCTGGAGAAGAGTATTGAATGTACCATGGACTGCCAAGAAAATAAACAGATTCAGGGGGAGCTCTGGTGGCCTAGTGGCAAGGAGCTGCAACTACAATCCCAGAGGCACACGGTTTTAATCCACCAGATGCTCTGCCGGGAAAAGGAGGGATAATCTCCTGTACCAGTCAGATCTGATTTGATGGTACACTCACACAAAAATTAAAAAAAAAAAGAAAATAAACAGATTCATCCTAGAGAGGGTTAAACCAGGCTACTCCTTGGAGGCAAGAATTCTGGGGCTTTGTCTGACATACTTTGGACATGTTGTAAGGAGAGACAACTCCTTGGAGAGGGACATCATGCTTGGGAGGGTGGAGGGACAGTGCAAGAGGGGAAGACCCTCTATGAGATGGATTGATTCAGTGACTGGGGTAATCGGGATGGGTGTGTCAGAGGCAGTGCGATTGGCACAGGATAGAGCAAGGTTTAGGGCTGTTGTACATAGGGTCGCTATGGGTCACAAACAACTCGACAGCACATAACAACAACAATCATTATACAGACTGGACCTCATACCCCCCGTCCAGACCTTGGGGAAAGGTCTGCCAGGGTTGTGATGCTCATGGTTTGCACTTGAGGGCAAGGAGGCATCAGACTCTACCTCTGCAGCTGCACAGCTGTGGCGCCTCCAAGACCAGTTGCCTCTGCACCCACCCACCAAGTGACTCAAGTGGCCCTTGCTTTGCACTGACTGCTGACCCACTTGCGCCCCACAGGGCACTTCCCTTTGTCTGTGGTGCCCAGCACCTGCCATGACACCTCTTGGAAGACAGCCTAGGCTGATGCCACAGATAGGGCCTACTGGGGAGAGAGGGTACCTAGTCCCTCTAGCTAGGGCCATGTGGGCCAGAGCACAGTAGGGGTGCAAGGGTGGTGAAAGAGGCCCTTTTCACCCTCTCACAGCTGGTGAGGACCAAGTGTCTCTGGGTTGTCATTAGTGCCACTGGCTAGTGGGCAGATTGGAAGCAGGAGTGGCATCCACTTCCTAAACAACATGCCTCTGGAAACTTTGATAAATGATAGTTATACAAAGGCTTCAGACCGTTTGTTCATAGGGTTGCTATGAGTCTTGCTCAACTTGACACCAAACAACGACAATCATTGTTTACTAGAATCCTCAAAAAACATTTGAAAATCTGATCTCAAAAGTTCAACAGGGCAGCAAACAATGGCTGGTGAGGTTGTAGAGAGATTGAACTCTTACTGCTGGTGAGAATGTAAAATGGTACCGCCACTATGGAATCCAGTCTGGTGATTTCTCAAAAGTTGGAAATAGAAATACCATTTGACCCAGCAAGTCCACTACTTGGAATATACCCTAAAGAAACTAGAGCTGTAATTCAAACAGATGTATGCATATCCATGTTATTGTTGCATTATTCACAATAGCAAAGAGATGGAAACAACTCAAGTGCCCATCAGCAAACGAATGCAAAGGAAAACCATGGCACATTCACACAATAGAATATTACACAGCACTGAACAATGAACTCATAAAACTTCACAGGGCGCATTGCCATGGGAAAGTCTGCTGTTAGGGACCTCTCCAAAGTACTGAAGAGCAATGGTATCTCTCTGGAGACTAAGGTGCATCTGAGGCCATGGTCTTCGCAATCACTTTCTATGCATCAGAGAGTTGGACAATGACCAAAGAGGATAGAAGGAGAATTGATGCCTTTGAGCTGTGGTGCTGAAGAAGAGTATTGAGAATACCATGGACTGCTAGGAAAATAAACAGATTTGTCCTGGAAAGGGTTAAACCGGGTGGCTCCTTGGAGGCAAGGATTCTGAGGCTCCGTCTAACATACTTTGGACATGTTGTGAGGAGAGACCAGTCCTTAGAGAGGGACATCATGCTTGGGAGGGTGGAGGGACAGCGCAGGAGAGGAAGGCCCTCTATGAGGTGGATTGATTCAGTGACTGGGATAATTGGGATGGGAGCGTCGGAGTCAGTGCGATTGGCACAGGACAGAGCGGAGTTTAGGGCTGTTGTGCATAGGGTCGCTATGAGTCGCAGGCGACTCGACGGCACATAACAACAAGAAGTTTGGGCCTGGAGGACATCTCAGTCGCAGAAGGACAAATACTGCATAACACCACTGCTATAGGATTGACGCTGGAATACTGGAAAGAGCAGACTGATAATGAACAATGTATTGGAACAGATGAGGGGAAGAACTGTCCCAAAGGATATGACAAGGTATTACGACAATCTGGAACAAGGGAGCATTAAAGGGTGGGGTCTGGGGGGAGAGCAGGGGAGCGGGAAAGAAAATGTGCAACAACAAATAACCCCATTTTAGATATTTTAAGAAAACAAACGGGTTTTCCCGGGAGAGGGTGAAACCAAGCTTCTCTTTGGAGGCAAGGATTCTGAAGCTTCATCTTACAATCTTTGGGCATGTTGTAAGGAGGGACCAGTCCCTGGAGAAGGACCTCATGTTTGAAAGGGTAGAGGGACAGCGCAGGAGACCCTGGATGAGATGGACTCATTCAGTGATTGGGGTTATGGGGGGGTAGGTGTGTCAGAAACTGTCAAGGTTGGCTCAGGGTAGAGCAGGGTTCACAGCTGTTGCACACAGCGTCGCTATGAGTCGCCAGCGACTCGTGGGCACAAAACAACAAAATAAGATTGGAAGCCCGGGGGCAAGTAGCTTCAATAAAACAGCAGGCTGCTCGGCTTCACCCTCCGGGCAAGGTAAACCCAGCCTCCAAGGACAACACGGCCGACGCGTTTACTAAGGTTCCGGGGCGCGTGGTGACGTCACTTCCGTCGTCCTGGGCTGTGACTGGTCAGGTCGCTCCGGCGCTTCTGATACGTCGAGCCTACTACATCCCAGCGTGCTTTGCGCTGCCGATTTCTTTCTGCTTGGCTGTTCGGTTGGAAGAAGGTAGGTGGCTTGTAGTGTGTAGGTATCCGTTCCCATCGGCGTCCTTCTGCGCCCATCTACCCCCGTCTCGCCCTCCGTGGGCCATGAAGGTCCCGCAGTTTTTGCTGCAGAAGGCATTGGGCCTGGGCTCTGGCGATGCGTCTGGGCTACTTGGGTTGGCCGTACAGGCCGGGATGGTGTCTCCAGCCAGGATCAGGGGACGCACCAGGCAGACGGGGCACAGTGGCACCCACTCTGTCTGCAGCTGGCCCTTAACACTGTTCCATCCTTTCTTCTGGGCTAAAAGCCGTAGGCAGCCATGGCGCCCAGCAGGAATGGCATGATCTTGAAGCCTCACTTTCACAAAGACTGGCAGCGGCGCGTGGCCACATGGTTTAACCAGCCGGCCCGGAAGATCCGCAGGTGAGGATCCGGGACGCGAGCTGGGCAGTACGCCGGGCGCAGTCGCGTGATGACACTCTCCGGAATCGCTGCGGTGCTGTGATGAAAGCTCGTTTGAACCCTGTTGTGTCTGATGACTGCGTGCTCCTGTTGGAAGCCCTGGGGCTTTGTCTTGGGCTTGAAGCCGTAATGGTTCAGGCTTGTGGTTGCAGGTTAGCCGGGGTGCCGCCAGCACCGCCTTCCGTTGAGGGTAACTGCTCCCCTTTCTCTGACCAGACGCAAGGCCCGCCAGGCGAAAGCGCGCCGCATCGCCCCGCGCCCCGCTTCCGGCCCCATCCGGCCCATCGTGCGCTGCCCCACGGTGCGGTATCACACCAAAGTGCGAGCCGGCAGAGGCTTCAGCCTGGAAGAACTCAGGGTGAGTGCCCCCGGAACCTCGCCGGCCCCACGCTGTCCGCCCTGCCGCTGGGTCGTGTGATGACACTCTCCGGAATCGCTGAACCGCTTTGATGAAAGCTGCTTTGAACCCTTTTCCATCTGAGGACCAAGCGCTGGCGAGGGCATGACGGGGTCTGAGGGTGGGAGGGCAGAGCTTCACCTTCTGTTTTCTGGAGCAGGTCGCCGGCATCCACAAGAAGGTAGCTCGGACCATCGGAATCTCCGTGGACCCACGGAGGAGGAACAAGTCCACTGAGTCCTTGCAGGCCAACGTGCAGCGGCTGAAGGAGTATCGCTCCAAGCTCATCCTCTTCCCACGGAAGCCTTCCGCCCCCAAGAAGGGAGACAGTTCTGTGAGTACTGGGAGCTGCTTTGTCAGGCTGGAGTGGCCAGCCTGCCGTGTCGTCAGTGTCAGCCGGCACCGAGCTGCCACCCCAGGCCCATTTCAGAGGAGCTTGCCCCTTTTCTCCTACAGAGCAGTTGATGTATTCACACTGCAAGTTAGGCCTGTGGTTACACGTTGGTTACAACCCCCCAGTTCTGCTCCTTTTTTGTCTAAAATGGCTGTGTGTAAAACCATTACCTTACAGGCCTGGGAGAGTTAGGTTGACCACATCCGCGGAGGGTGTTTTCATAGCCTCCAGGTCATTGGGTTTGGGAATGGTTATGCCTGAAAAGTAGCAGTGCCATGAGTCAGTGTCTAGACTGCTCTGTGACCTCGAGGGGCACAGCTTAAAGTCACCTGGGGCCTGTAATGGGTGGGGCTTTTCCATACCTGCTATGGGGCTGTAGCTGCACCATTTCTTGGAGAGACTGAACCCAGATTCTTTGTTTTCAACAAACAGGCTGAGGAACTCAAACTGGCCACTCAGCTGACGGGACCTGTCATGCCTATCCGGAATGTAAGTGGGTGGGGATGAGGTTGGGTTAAAGGTCATATGAGGATTGACTGCTGGTGACCCTTAAGAAACCATCTTGGAAATTGTAGCAGTGGGCAAAGCGAGGGGACTCTTGCTTTAAGAAAAACTTAGGGCACTGCAATCCCACAGGTGTGTGGTTCAAATCCTCCAAGTGCTCTGCTGGAGGAGGTACAAACTCCACGTGTGCCAGTCAGAGCCAATTTGATGCTTCACCAAAACAAAAAATTTTAAACAAACAAACTAAGCCTTGGGGGCTTTGTACCTGGTTTTCAGCCACACCTCTAGGGCTTGTTCCTCTTTTCTGCTTGCAGAGCTCTGACCTCACAGGTCACCCAGAGCTGCCCTTTCAACTCTGATAGATTATTTCCACCTTGGTTTTAACCTTGCATTTTCTAAAAGTAGTTAATAAGCGCCTTCCTCAGCAGCAATGTCCTCTTAGTGCCTCGTTGCCCCTAGGAGCTTTCACTGGCCCTTTGTTATTGAGCCACAGTTGCACACTGCTCACCTCTCTCTACCTCACAGGTCTACAAGAAGGAGAAAGCCCGGGTCATTACACAGGAAGAGAAGGACTTCAAGGCCTTTGCTAGTCTCCGCATGGCCCGTGCCCATGCCCGGCTGTTTGGCATCCGGGCCAAGAGGGCAAAGGAAGCCGCAGAACAGGATGTAGAGAAGAAAAAGTAGACTGTTGTTGGGACCTTTAATAAAAACCGTGAAGCCCTCCCTGCGTGTTGTCTGCTATGGAGTGAGGGACCACATTGGAGACCAGAGGATCACTTTGTTATGGAAGGTCGTGTAGGGTTACTGGGGTGCTCCTAAAGGCCATTGGCCACACAGTCTAGGTATGCAGGGCCTGGTATCTGCTACCACTGCTGAATCCCCTTTAAGAAGTTAGTTGGGTGTGAGTGGCTCAGGACTGAGTAGAGCTTTTCAGGCGTGGTGGGATGCTACCGTTCTTGAGCAGCCTCTTGGGTTCCTAACAGGCTGTAAACAGCCATAGTAGAGCCAGGTACCTGAGAAGTCCCTCCTGGGAGCTGATCTGCATTCTCTGCACAGTGGCTGTTTGGATTTGCTTCAGCAGGGCTGACTGAGACTGCGGAGAATATGTTCAGGCATGCCTGACCCTTGTCCAACTCTCTACTCCACACTTTGTTCTGTCCCATAATCGTCATCGTCAAATGCTGAGAGGAGTGAGGGGTTTATCCTCATCTTGCACTTGACAGCAGGCTGGTGAGATTCATGGACCAAGCAAAAGGTAGAGTCATCTGAGGGTGAGAAAGGGCTGCTGCTTCTGGAGAGGCCTAGTTGGGCCTCAACTCCCCACCTGGAGAAACAGAAATCACAGTCATTTTTCTTTGGCTAATAAGTTACAGGATGGCAGCTTCTCTGCCCAGTGACCTCCCCAGAGGTCCTTCTGGTCCTGTGACATCCCACCCCCGGGGCTGGGAGCTCCTAACTGACAGGGCTGCTGAACAGAGGCTTGGCCTGGGTGCCAGGGCTGCAGCCAAGGAGCATATAATCTTGTCTGCACAGAACAGGCCATGAAACCAGAAAACGTCAGGTCTGATGGCTCTTAGCTGATAGTGAACTATGTAGAGGGTGTCTATGCCCAGGGACAGCTCCGGAAAAGTGGAACCCTCTGGCATGCTGTGTTGCAAAAGTAGTAAATTGCTAACAGGTGAAACCTCCAACTCCCTAGCAGGCTAGGACCAGCCAAAAGGCAGGAACACACCTGAGCCTTGGCAGGTGTTCTGTATTGGCCATCTTGAACAGCTGAGTAGTGTTTACAAAGTGAGGAACAGTATAGTCCTAGGTGCAGACCCAGGGTGATCCACAAGAAAGCATGGCAGGTTTTCAGTGGTGATCACCAGGTCAAGGTGTCTGGTTGGATCCAGACCTTTTAGTTCTCAGCACATTAACTGTTTCTTTGAGGGTGTAAGGTATGTCTTAGTAAATGTGAGGATACTTTGGGCATATTTTTAAGAAGAACCAGGCATTGAATACTGGGAAAGGTGTCCCCAGAGAGCATTTGTAAGAGTTGAGGGACCAGTTGGGAGTGACACTGCTTCTCCCATACTCTGTAAAAGAAGTTGTGCACTTGGGCTCGCTTCCCCACCCTCACCGTCACTGGTGCTGGTCAAAACTTTTGTGGACAGTAGTATATACTGACTTGTAACAATGAAATTACAGTATGATAACATTTCTTCACCCCTTTCTGGTGCAACAGCAAAGCTCAGGGATTGGTGTAGGTCCTGTTGGAGGTGGGGGCTGAAACCTCAGAGCTCAATGCGGAGACATCTCAGCAGTCCCCACGGTTCAGGAAGCCCAAAAGGACAGAGGGGCCAGGCTCTGAACAGTGACCGTGGGGATGGCAATGGGGGAGGCACACCCTTGAGGGTCTTGTGGGCCTAGGGAGGTTTGGTTGTGCAGGTGGGGTCCAGCTCTGTCCTCACTGTGCGCCTGAGCCATCCCTGCTGGCCCTGACCCCTGAGGTCCTGTCTGGCAGTGTGATGAGGGTGCCATTAGAAGGACCACCCTGGACACAGGTTGCTCACAGCAGCTGGAGTCCAAATCCAAGAGAAGAGGTAGACAGGGTACCACCAGTCAATCCCATCATGGGGCCAAGGAGGAAACTCTATATCTGGAAAATTGAAAGCATTACCTGGGGGCACCAATCTGGTCAGAATGGGGGTGTCCTCTCACAAATACGAGGGGTTTGTGTGAGAGAGTGCCCGTCTCCGTGTGCTAGCAACCCTATGAACAGGTAGTCGGAACCCTGTCCTGTGCCATCATCTCTTACACTAGAGCCTACTGATGAAGTCACTGACAACCCGTCTTGGGGTCTCCTTTACCGACCCTCTTACCTTTCCAAGCATGATGTTCCTTTCCAAGGAACCGCCTCACCTAGCTCTGTGTCCATAGCGTGAAAGTCAAAGGTCCGCCAAGGAGCACTCTGGCTGCCGACGTCTGTCAGCAGTCCGTGGGATAGTCAGTGATCTGGCATCACTTCTGTCATCCTTATTCACTGTCCAGCGCACTGATGCATTGCAGGTGACTAAGAAAACCATGGCCTGAATCAGGTGCACTTTAATCTTCAAACTGACATCATTTCAGCATTTTGGAGAAGTCCTTGACAGCAGATTTGCCCAATGCAGTACATCTGATTTTTTGACTTCTGGTAGAAAAGGTGTTGATCCAAGTGAAATGGAATGATTGACAACGTAAGTCCTTTCTCCATCTATCTTAAGGTTGACTGTGTGTCCTGTGTCCATACTGAAGACTTACTGTTGTTAGGTGTTGAGTAGTCTGTGGGTCATAGCAACCCTATATGAAACAGCTCTGAACACTGCCCTATCCTGAGCCTATCTAATTGTGTCCAACAGACTCAATCCTACTTCTCCAGTCATTTATTTATTCAATCCATCTCAGCCTGGATCTTCCTCTCTTGAACTGTCCCTCCACCTTTCCAACCATAATGTTCTTCCCCAAGGACTGGTCCCTCCTGGCCATGTGCCCAAAGATTGTGAGATGAAACTTCAAGATACCTCCATGGAGCAGCTTGGTTTCACCCTCTCCAAGATTGATGTGTTTGTTCTCTTAGCACGCCATACTATGTTCAGTACCCTTCTCCAGCATCCCAACTCAAGGGCATCAATCCTTTTATCGTCCTTAGTCATTGTCTAGCTCTCTGATGCATAGCAAGTTCTTGCAAAGTCTGTGGCCTGTATCAGGCACAACTTAGTCTACTAACTGACATTGTTACTCTTCAGTACTCTAGAGAGGTGTCCCTGACAGCCAACTTTCCCAATGCAATTGGAAAAAATCTTTAGGTTTCCTGACTGCTGATGCCAAGAGTTGATTGTGGAATGAAGCAAGCTGAAGTTGTTAACATCTTCAGAAACAGGTTGAGGCCTTGAGTACTAAAGAGTGAAGACCAGATGGTCTGTGGGAGGTTATCAAGAATATCATCCATGAGACTGTAAAAAGACTTACATATTAACTGCTCTACTGGGTCCAAAATCAGCTATAATGAATCACAGAGCACACGCAAGCACACTCACGATTACAAAGTTCATTTTTTTGTTGTGCACTATTGAGTTGGAACTGACTTATAGCTGACCCTCCAGTTGATTTTCAGAGACAGTTAATCATATGGGAGGAGATTGCCCATTTTCCTCCCACAGAACATCTGGTAGGTTTGAACTATGTGCCTTAGGGATTGCAGCACAGCTCTTTACCACTAAACCACCAGAGCTTCCTAAGAGGTTTAGTAAGGAAGTCAAAAGGCTGTAATTCAGGTTGGTAGCAGGATACATTTTCCACATTCGGTTCCTATCCCAAAGAAAGGCGACCCAACCGAATGTGGAAACTACAGAACAATTTCACTGATTTCACATGCAAGCAAGATTTTACTGAAAATTATCCAAAAACGACTGGAACAGCACATCAACAGAGAACTACCAGAAGTCCAGGCTGGTTTCAGAAGGGGTCGTGGTACTAGAGATATTGTAGCTGATGTTAGATGGATCTTGGCTGAAAGCAGGGAATACCAGAGGAATGTCTATCTGTGCTTCATTGACTATGCAAAGGCATTTGACTGTGTAGATCATAACAAACTGTGGCTGACTCTGAGAAGAATGGGAATCCCAGAACACTTGATCGTTCTAATGCGAAACTTATACTCGGACCAGGAGGCAGTCGTCAGAACAGAGCAAGGGAACACTGCATGGTTCAAAATTGGGAAGGGCGTACACCAGGGATGCATCCTATCTCCATACCTCTTCAACCTATATGCAGAACAGATTATCCGGGAGGCTGGGCTCTATGAGGAGAAATGTGGGGTCAGGATTGGTGGACAATTTATCAACAATCTGCGTTATGCAGATGACACAACCCTGCTTGCTGAAACTGAGGAGGACCTGAAGCGCCTGCTGCAGAGTGTCAAGGACTGCAGCCTACAATATGGATTGAGACTCAATGTCAAGAAGACAAAGATTCTCACCACTGGACCAATCGGCAGCATCAGGATGGATGGTGAAGAGATTGAGATTGTACACAGCTTTAGTTTGCTTGGCTCCACAATCAACACTCTTGGCACCAGCAGCCAGGAAATTAAAAGGTGCATTGCCATGGGAAAGTCTGCTGTTAGGGACCTCTCCAAAGTGCTGAAGAGCAGTGGTGTCTCTCTGGAGACTAAGGTGCGTCTGATACAGGCCATGGTCTTCGCAATCACTTTCTATGCATCAGAGAGTTGGACAATGACCAAGGAGGATAGAAGGAGAACTGATGCCTTTGAGCTGTGGTGCTGGAGAAGAGTACTGAGAATACCATGGACTGCTAGGAAAACAAATAGATTTGTCCTGGAGAGGGTTAAACTGGGTGGCTCCTTGGAGGCAAGGATTCTGAGGCTCCGTCTAACTTACTTCGGACATGTAGTGAGGAGAGACCAGTCCTTGGAGAGGGACAACATGCTTGGGAGGGTGGAGGGACGGCGCAGGAGAGGAAGGCCCTCTATGAGGTGGATTGATTCAGTGACTGGGATAATTGGGATGGGAGTGTCAGAGACAGTGCGACTGGCACAGGACAGAGCGGAGTTTAGGGCTGTTGTACATAGGGTCGCTATGAGTTGCAGGCGACTCGACGGCACATAACAACAACAACAACACAGCAGGATACAATTAGGAC